TGCTACGATTATCTCTATCTGCATGCATAGCTGGCAAACTCATCAAGGGAAACCCATTATATTTGGCATGCAGCCATTTGAAACGCCGCGAACGGCAAACGGGCAAACATGCAACATTGAGAACTGAACTTGACACTGAAACAAATATCACTAACAACAACAGCTACAGCAACAACAACAGTAATAACAACAGCAACAGACGTTAATGACATTTGTATTTGGGTTGGATGTCAGTTGCATTTGTGTGGGCTTGATATACATATGAATATGCGTGTGTGTTGGGTGTGCTTATTAGCCAAGTGCCAGCATAATCGTAATTGGAAATCTAACCCGATTAGGTCAGCGGAAAAGAGCACAACGGCAAATAAAATAGAGAGAGAGCGAGCGAGAGAGAGAGAGAGAGAGAGAGAGAGAGAGAGAGAGAGATACAGGCAAATGAGATCAAGAGCCACATGCAAATGAAAATAGTCAAAGTCAATGGAGCGTGCATCAAAAACAGCCGTTGGATACATTTTCAAGATCAATACGAAAACACACGCTAGTGTATATGTCAATAAATACAAATAAAAAACAAAATCAAAGTACTTTTATAAAGAGGCAGAGAATGAACTATGAACATCAAATACTAAACACTCTGCCAGATCTAGATTTGTAATGCAGGTGTTTTACTTGGGGCAGTTGTGCTGTAATCTGTGCAAAAGTTTATAGACTCGTTTTGGAAAATTATTAAAAATGTGAAAGTACAGAATATTATAAAATAATCAAAAATGTAAAATAAATTCAACCTTTACCTGCGCTTTGTGTCTGTGGCGCTAAGAATCGAATCGCATGCAAAGGTGTATATAAAAGTTGGATATGCTTCCATAACAATAACATGGAAAAAGACGTTGCCTTACTTACATCAGTTTACTATTGAGTTCTCTCTTCTTTCTGGGAAGCGCAGAGCTACTTCTTTACTGTATTATATACGCTGACTGCCCATATTAAGCTATCCACCAAATTTAGACAAAGTAACTACTTTCAAATAAATATTATCAATGAAAAGTCACCATTTTATTCCTAGCTGCACATATTTGCCACAAGACTTGACTGCTTTGTTTTAGCGATCCCATAAACTTTGGCCAGCAATACAGTGTAAAGCTCGTTTAAGGCTCTACTTCTATTCGCATCGCTACACGCACTGGCTATAAATATTACCAGTCGAAATTAATTGGATAAACGTTTTATGATATTGAATTATGATGGCCAGAGTTGGGGGTCAGTGCAAAGAATTTTGCGCTCTGGAATTCCCACACAATTCAAGCGGCCAATTTTATGAGTGCGTAAATTCCAATGGCAGTTGCCAAAGGCGTAAGGACAACGACATAAGCGCAATCCTTGCGCTGTCCTCCTGTCCGCATCGACAGCATCGGCAGCAGCGTCATGCACAAAGGTAATAAAATTCGATATAAAATTGTGTAATAAAATCATTACTGGCCCTTGCTTTGCGCTGGCCACTAAAATCAAGCTTGTCTGGCAACGCCAACGGCGTCGCACTGAAACGTGCAGGCGGCCCAGGATATGACCCAGTCTTAAGCCAATACCAGTCTCAATGCCAATCCCTAGCTCGATCCCGATCCCGATGCCTATCCCTGTGCCAAGCTCAGGCCATAAAAATGGCAACGTGTGCCGCTGGCGAAGCGAAGCGACAAGTTAAAAGAGCAAAAGCAACAGACTCCGAGTCAGCCACAGCCACAGTCACAGCCACTGCAGCCTCTGCAGCCTCCGCATCCTGCCAAGGCGAAGGAGCTGTAAAAATAAGATGAAACCAGCGCGAAAATAATTTGTGTGGGTTCTTTATTCATTCACTGCGCTCGAGGGCCCGGCCCAGGAAGTGTAATGATAGGAAGTAAAAGGGCAAAAACTGCTTAAAGGATATTGAAAAGCGATAAATTGCTTTATTACTTAAGTGAGCCAACTGATTAGGTTAGCCTTGCACTCGCCGAGTGGCTCATTAAAGAAAGGCCGAAAAAAAGTAAAAAAGTAAAGAAAAAGAAGAGAAAAGAAAAACACCAAACTGAAAGTAACATAAATTCAATGAAATGCTTTAACGATTGCCATTAAAAGTTGTAATTAGTTTCGACTTGAATATACACTGTTTAAGAGAAAAATTCATAGGAATTGTATAGTTCTCATATTCATGGCTATTTAAATATTATTTATATAA